AGGAGAGGAAGAAGAAGAAGAAGAAGAAGAAGAAGAAGAAGAAGAAGAAGAAGAAGAAGAAGAAGAAGAAGAAGAAGAAGAAGAAGAAGAAGAAAGCTTGTGCCAACAGAGCCCAGCAATCACTCTCATGGGCATTCTTTCCCTCTTCCCCTAGAAACCCATAAATCTGCACAGGGATGCTCATAATAACATCTTTATCCATGGTAACCAAAACACAGAACCAGCCCCTGAAGAGGCACACTGTGTGCCCCCTCCTGTCACGAATGCAACCCAAGGACCAACTATGGGTGGAATTCTAGGAAATGACACTGAAAATTTTTTGTTGTTTTATGCTTTTTATTTTGTTTTCGGAAAGAACAAAGGAAAAGACCATATGACTATGTAATTCCATTTACTCAACAATCTTGAAATGACAAAACTTGGGAGGGGTGGCCAATACAGTGTTGTCAGGGGTCACCTGTCATCCTCAGGAACAGGGAGACTTTGGAGGGTCAGCAGTGTTGGTGACTACCCAAAATTTCATCTGTGTGTGGGGGACAGGGATACAGGAATAATTGGAGATGGGGGCGGGGATTCTATTCCGCCATACCCATAGCCTCTGGTGTGGCATTGTGGGTAGTTCCAACAATTGTTAGTCAACTCTAACAGTTAATAGAGTTCTTGTCTAGCCTCTAGGAAGCCCAGGGCTTGATCCCAAGCACCACGTAAACAGGAGTGATGGTGGAAGCAAGTATTTGCAACTCGAAGGTGGAGGCTGGCAGATCAGAAGTTCAAGGTCATCCTAGACCACCTGCTAAATTCAACGTCCAGCCAGTGCGGCAGGAGACCCTGTTTCACAAACAAAACAGCACCAAAAAAGCCTGCATTCTTTCTTAGAACTGCACGGTGAATCCACACTTCTTTCAAACTGCGTGAGTGCTACCGGACTGTATGTATTCTTAAACATGCTACATGCCTTGACACACACAAAGACAAGGGACAGGTGATTATTTCTTAAATTTGGGGACAGTACCACGCTCCTAAGTGTCATCCCCTCACGTTGCTGTCAGCGACTGCGGGGTGTTGGATTTAGGAGTGGGTGAGGAGGATTCAGGGCCTGGACGCATTGCGATCAGGTGTGTGTAGAGGTGGGCGTTGATGTGAGCGAGAGGCATGGCCCAGAAAGAAAGCGCCAGGGCTAAGCATCCCCTCTTGTCAAAGAAGGTGACAGGCTAAGAAGGTACCATGCAGAATGTCAGTTAGGGAAGGGTTTCTGGAGGATGCTGGAGCCTCGGAAACGCCCTCCCGTGCACCTTTCAGGAGGCAGTGGGCGGCGAACGAATCCCCAGGAGCAGTAACCGAACCCCGCCATGCCCAGAACCAGGTAAGCAAGGGACCCGCTGCGGAGATGCGGCCTCCCGGCAACCGCCCGCAATCGTGCTGGGCAGTGCGGTTCTCAGAGGCGGCGCCGGGTCTCGGAAGATGCGGCGGAGACGCCAAGGAGGCTGAGAGCGTGGGGCGGGTGGGGCGTTGCGGAGATCTCTCCGGCGCCAGCCCAGTAGCAGCGGCTGGCTGAGGGCGCGCTCACCCAGGCACGTGGGTGTGCAACCACCGGCGCCGCCCGGCCTGCGCTCTGCAGCACCTCGGAGCGGATGCAGGCGCGGGAGCAACGGCGCTGGGCAGGGTTGGGATATGGCCCGCACCGCATCCTGGCCAGACGCCTGGAGGCGCTCTCCACGCACGTCCCTTCCCCGCTGCCCGGGCCTTCTTAAATTTCCGGAATGGAAAGCCGTAAAACCGGAGGCTTTGTCCAGGGATGGCTGGGGACACCGGAGCGTCTAAACCTTTAGCTCTAAACCTGACTAGGGGTGGTGGGGCGGAGACAGATGGACATTGACCTGTGGAGCCACCTTGGGTTTTCACAGGAACTCTACCAGCAGCTGAGCCTGGGACCCTAGGGTAGCCGGCGGGTTCCACGTGGGTGCACTTGGAGCTGGGGCAGCCGTGGCCCGGCTGCGAATTGCCGTCGTAGGCGCTCCGCAAAGGCTGCTCCCAGCCCCAGGCATCCACGCGTGCCTGGTGCGGGTGCCGCGGAACCCTCTGGGGAAGGAAGGTGGTGGGCGGGATGAGAGGTGAATAGCCAGAAAGGAGGGGGCAGAAGGCACTAGAAGGTAGCGGTCCCACAGTCGCAGCAACACTGCAGTTGGCTCAGCGGAAACGACAGGGGCAGTAAAGCGCCTGCCAGGCGCAGGATGGTTCTGACAGGGCCTTGGTCGGCTCTGAGAATGAACAGAGGGGAAACTCTGTTTCACAGACTCTTGTGGCTGCTAGCCGACGTGCGGAGATTTGGTCATGGGGACTTGAAGGAAGAGAGGCGAGGGTGACAATGCTTGTGCTATGGAAGGGCATGCCCGCAGCCTGGAAGCTTCTGTACTCCATCTTATCCCGGGACCCCCCAAGCTGCCATTTGTCCCCTTCCACCACGCCCTCGTCGCAGCCTTCCAAGAAATTCTGCACTTTATGAACCTGCCCCACACATCACCATAGAGCAGCTTCTCACAGCCCACACCGGTGTGGTCACTCCAGAGACACAGTTCCGCAGACTTCGGATCGAGCTGCAGGAGGACGCTGAAGGCAAACACTCTGCAGCGATCAGTCTGGTTCAATGTCACCCCCTTCATCCCGGTTGCAGTGCGCTTTCTCAACAGGGCGTGACCCTGTAGACAGACCAGCCAGGTCGAATCTGGGCCCTGCCCGCATCCAGTCACTGCCGCCCAATACCCCAACCTTTACTGTAAGGCGTGTCCCCCCCCCCCCCACACACACACACCCTGCACCGCGTCAGCTACATCCTGCTCCTCTCAGTGCTCTCCAAGGGCAGGACGTGTGAAAGTCCAGGATCTGACCACACACCTCCAGCTATGCGGGACCCATCTTGGGTAGGTTTGTACGTTTAACTACGTAGCCGTTCCTAGATGTGCAAGATAAAGCACTGGGCGGGGGTAGTTTGCAGTTCAAGTTCAAAAACACATTCTTGAGGCTCTGAAGTGTTATTCACGGCCTCTCTAGGCTTCATCTTTGAATCCAGATCCCCGGAATTACCTCTTCAGGCCTGCCACAAGTGTCCGGTATTCTCCCAGTTTCCCGGAGAGAGGGTTGGGAGAGCAAGTTTAACTGTGAAAACCCTACGATCTGTGTCTTCTGGTTTTTTTTTTTTTTTTTTTTTTTTTTTTTTTTTGGCCATAACCAACTTTCTATTTTAAAATCGTGGTTAACATCAAAATTAACACCTGGGAGCCCAGAACACCCAGCTTTTTTACTAAAAGGTACAGGTGTGTGTGTGTGTGTGTGTGTTAAATGAATTATTCCCCCTTTTATGTAGTGTAGTTTGGAGAAGGACAGAGAGGCATCTGCTTGAAAATAAGAGGCTCCTTAATTTGACAAGTCCTTTCCTTTTACGCTTCCCTATCTCTCATGCTTTCCAGCATCCCCCAAAGTTCCGTCTAGCGTTGGTGCCTGAAGCTTTACATAACAGTTAAACTTCCTACTAAGCAAACCTGCTGAACATTTGCCCTCTGCCCAGAGAAGCTAAACACTCATAGGACATGAAAGGGTTGGGGACAGGCCCTTTGGATCGAGGTGGGGGTAGCTTCGCGGATGGAGGCTGGGAGTAAAGGTGGAGCGCTAAAGTACCAAGGGCCAGAGTCAGGTCTTCTTCCTTTTCGTGCCTTGGCCTCTGCAGTGGTCACCTTGGGCGGAAACCGCATCCACGACCAAATCTAGTACAGAACTCCTTTGGACAGAAGTTAGAAAGAAGCTAGGGTAGAGAGAGACAGTTTGCTTCTAATAATCGCATAAGTATACCTACAGTACCGCCCAAGCGGCGAGCAGACGCGGGATTCACCATCCCCACGTGCTGCTGGGGTTGGTGCAGACCAGTCCGCGGGCACCGCGGCGAACGTGACACCGCATTTTCTCCGAATTTCTGCCATCTAGGATGGTGCAACCAAGGGAGGGGGTCATGGGGAGGTGGCTGCGAGGCTGCGGAATCCACTCTCTGCAGAGAACTGGAGCTTGGAACAGCGCGAAACTCCGAAGGCGTTCACATTCAACAGAAAAGCAACGCCCAGTTGTGGGTGGTTAATAGCCGGCTTCCCACGGCCAGGAGGCTTGTCCCTAGCGGCACCGCTACCTTATGTTTTAATTTGATCTTTATTGGGTCTTTGATCCCCTAGGCTGCGGACTGGACTTGCGTTCCGAAGGCCACTGCCCTCTCTGGGGAGGGTGGACCTTCAACTGCGCTTCCCCCCCCCCCCCGACACACACCCAGGGAGTCAGCTAGAGTTCCTAGCCTTCTAGACCTGAGTTATCCGGCATCCCCGGGCGTGGTCCACTCCTGGGGGCTGGGGGTAGGGGTGGGGGGTCTTTCTAGCCTTGGAGCTGAGCCACGTCTACAACGCAGCCCCTGTACTCCACGCCGGTGCTCAGAAAGGAGAGAAGGGGAGGGGAGGGGTCACTCTTAACTATGAAGTGACAGTGGTCTACCCAGTGTGTGTGTGTGTGTGTGTGTGTGTGTGTGTGTGTGTGTGTGTGTGTGTGTGTGTGCTGCAGTCCAGGAGGGAGGGTTCTACTGCCAAGGGCAGGGCGGAGGACAGTATAGGCCGGCTGGTAAAATGAGAGAGCTTTCCCAGGTTCAGCTGCAGTGATCACCCGGCATTGCAGCTAAAGGGGCTGGTTGCACCCTGCGTGCTCCCCCCGCCTTCCCTGTGTTCCCCGGCTTTTCCAAGAGGGAAGATGGGGTGCCCATAGCGGGTGGGGCGCGCCGGGCTGCCCAGCCGGGCGATCACGTGTCCCCCCCACTCTTCCCCTCCCCCGCTACTGCAGCGGGAGTTCCAATCAGAGCGCGCCAGGGGGCTCCTCCCGGGCAGGAACCACCCGGCTCAGCGGCGCGGGGTGGGCCGCCGTCACCTGACCGCCCGCCCCCGCCCCCCGCGAGTAAGGGGCGGTGGTAGCGTCTGCTCGGTTACAAATGGCCCCTCCCGCCCCGCTCGCCCGCTCGCTCGAGCTCGGCGCGGACCCGCCCGGGACCGCTCCTCGCAGCAGATGCCTGGGTCCCACCGCCCTAACCGGCGCCCGCTATCTGGCCACCTCGGAGGGCACGCTCAGACACCCGGAGGTCCGGCCACCTCAGTGGGTGCATCGGGCACACTGTGATCCGACCACAAGGCGAGGCGCGCTGGTCACTCGGGTGGGCGTGCTGGGCTTCTCTGCGGCGGAAGTCTGGACCACAGTGTGACTCCCCTTCTAGCTGTAGGTGAGTGCCCAGAGGGAGCGCAGGCGTGGGATGCTCTCCGACCGTGTGGGGACCCCGGGGTCCTCCGAGGCACCGGCGGATTTGATGTAATGACTAAGTCAAGCTTGCAGAGCGAGTCCGAAGTCGCTTGCCTTCTGGGCCTCTTTAGGAGTTTCCCCAGTCTCTGCTTTGGGAGAGAGCTATTTGCTTGGAAGAATTCTTGTCTTGAGATACTTGACAAAGGTTGAAAAGACACTCAGGTGGGAGCCGGTAGCTGCAGCTATCAGGCGCGGGTTAGGCACTGCCTGAGAGTCTAAATGTGGGGGGGCGGGGGCCATTGTGAAAATCAGCCCCAGATAGGGCGAAACCTCTGCGTCCGGTCACTCTGTCCCCAAAAGCCACTTGAAATACCAAGGAGAAAGGGAAACCCAGTGGTTCTAGCTGTTGCGTGCTGACCAGCTAACCCCCTCTGTAGGTTTCTGATCTACCCCTGTACTGCAGGTGATTTTGCCAAGGAGGTGTGAGACTTGAAGGCACCTAGGAAATATTTTTACTTTATGACTTTTGAGCAGAAAATACGTGTTAAAGTGTTGAATTGCGAGGAAAGATGTGAAAAAATCATTTAATTAGCCTTTATTTGTAAAGTTTTGGTTTTAAATGAAAAATAGCATCGGTGTAGGTATTTAAAATACTATTTTGCGACTGTACCTTTGGTTTTATGACTGGGCTGGGTTTTTGTTTTCTTCTTAGAGAGTTGCATCCATATATTTCTTATAACCTTCATCCCTTCAAACAAGACCCTTCAAAAGAGAAATAAATAAATACCAAGGTGTGTGTATGTGAACAGGACTGGAGAAAGCGGTTCTGGGGAATAGAAGACAGCCTCCTTTGAGTACAGTGATGGCCAATTTAATTTGTCATATGCCACTGAAGGGAATGTCAAGCTGATAGCACACAGACTGGAGAGAAAATGAAGTAGGAGTTGCCGGTGAAGGAAGAAATAGGCCCTAATCCAGTTACACTCAGTGAAGAGCTGAGTCCCTCCACACTGGGGCTTCAGTCTGTCTTGGTGGAGGTGGAGGGGTGGAGGGAGGCAGTTTGAGATGCAAGTGCTGAGAGAGAGAGTCAGGATTGGGAAAATGGGTGTGTCCAAAGACAGCTCTTGCCCATGTACTCCAGCTACACGGTCTGAAGGGTTCAGAGGTCTGCTGACTCATAAGGAGGCCAACACAATTAGATTTTACTTTTAGACCTTGACCATACTTGTAAAAAAATTTTTTTAAAAAATAAAACATATAATAACCCTTATCATCAGAGAACTCAGTCTCCTCACATCTCTACTCTGGGAGATTTTTCTCCTGGGATTTTATATTCACCCCCTTTATTTCAATGCCTGCCATGCATGTTGGTGCATACATCTCATTTGACTTGACACAAAGGTTTTCACCTCCACCGTGATATTAGATACAGTGACACCCTTAACCACACAATTATGTCCAAGGTATTGTTGAACATATTGGAAAACTGGAATGTGGGCAATTTAGTTTCTTAACAGCAAAGATTCTCCTTGCCATTGCATTGCAAGACCAGAGAGCCCCACCCTGTTTCTGAGCCTCTGCATGCAGCCAGGGAAGGAGCCCTGCAATTGCAGTCATGCAGGGCGAGGCACTGCCAGTCTTGGGTGTTGCCCGCACTGTGTGTTCACCCACATTCTAGGAGGAAGACCTCGACCCATGTGCCGGGCTCCAAAGCCTCATATTTCTCCACCTCACCTGCCAGCTTGGCAGATACACTATTTATAATAACTTGGAAAGGCTGCTTTTGATGAAAAGACACAAAGTGAGAACTGTTTCCAAACTCTGGTCTGGGAGGCTGAAAGACACGATAGAAAAACAGATGGCCAAGGCTATATGGATCTCGTGATAAAAATTCCTTATTAAATAAAATAGGTTTTGGAGGTTTTTTATTTTTTTTTTTTTGTCTGATGAGGTTTTCAGGTGATACATGGAATAAGCCAGCATGGGTGTTAAGTCAAGAGCCTGGTATCTTCATGAGGACAGGAGGAAGAAATAAATGAGTGGACTGACCCTTTACTGCAAAATCTGCCAAGCAGAACCAGGTCCAGCCAGGCCGCCTGACTAGAGAAAGACCACAAGATTTCAAATCTATAGGAAAGAAAGGGTTGCAAGCCCTTTGAAGAAAAGGGGCATTATGAATTCATAATTGCTAATCCCCATGGCCGCCCTCCTGCGCATCCTCTACCGCAGACAGCGGGGCTGACCAAGAGGAAGGAAGACCAAAGCTTTTCTACTTTCCTTAATTTTTTTTCTGAAAGATGCCTGCCCACTTGGTTACCATCCATTCTTAAGGTAAATGCATGATTTTAAGAGGAGAAAGAGATACTTCTCACCTGATTGCTAGAATGAGCTAGCACATCTCCAGATCTGGCTGGACCTGTTAGCACTTCTCTCAGCCATTACTCTGAGTGAAAATTGCATGTTCCTTTTTAAACTGATCATTCAAGTTCAGAGCTGATGAAACTCCTTCTGTTCCCCCAACACACACACACACACACACACACACACACACACACACCTTCACCCCCATTACATTATCTTACCCTCTCTTAAATCTACGAAACATACCTACAATCCCAGCACCTTGAAGGTGTTGAGTCACAGGAACAAACAATCAGGGAAATTGCCTGCGACCGCAGGTCATTCTAAAATCAAAATGACTTCAGTAGCTTCAGGACTCAGATTAGCAGGACAGCTCCAGCGCTCTGCTCAGATGCTAGTGCCTTGGCAGCCATACTTGCAAGGTCTTCTCCTAAGACATCCAGTGGCACTGTCTACTTGTTCGCTACTGATTGCAGTGTGAGACAGTTCCAGAATATTTACTGCCTTGAGTTCCCAGAGTAAATAGACACACACAGCATTGTATGAGGAACATTCCAGAACATCCCAGTGAAGCTAGTGATCTGACTGAATTAGCACCTGGACTACTAAAGCACACCAACTAGGCTCATTTTTTACCCCAAGAGAAGCTGTTGTTAATGAGCACAGGTTTCTCAGGACACTGGAGAGGGTTGAAGGACAAAGGGGAGGGGGGCGCAATATCTGACTTGGAGCCAACCTTGAGAATCTCTCTTTTCCTCTGGGCATGTCACGTCACACTTGTGATTTGTGAGGCATTTGTTGAAAACCCAGTTTGCAAACCAATTGATTTCAGGGAATTTTAGATTTGTAACATCATTAGTTCTTGTATGTTTGAAAATGGATACATTTTTATTCTGTGTGTGTGTGTGTGTGTGTGTGTGTGCGCGCGCGCGCGCATGCATGTGTTATGTGTTTGAGAGAATGAAAAGCAGTTTTGTGAACCCTGAAAACTGGGTGTGGTAGTGCATGCCTATGATCCCAGCACTCTTGAAAGACTGAAGAAGGAGGATCCATGTTCAAGGCTAAACCTTGTTTCAAACCAGACAAAACACAAAAGCCCCACCCAGGCCAGCGGTCTCCAACCCTAGCATTTGGAATTGCAGCCCTTTTCATTTTAAGAGGCATTAAATACTTGCACAGACATTTCTGCAGGATTCAAGAATGCGCTTCGCATGCATTCTGCCGCATGCACATCCGTCCTACACAGACTGAGTCTGCTGCTTGGGATTATTTGATTTTCATTTTGAGGAGACTCTTGGGTTCTCAGGGGCCTTTGTAGTTGTGTCTTTCCCATCTGTGGCTACTGGATTCTGATTCTGTCTAGCTGGGCTATCTCCGGACCGTAAGGACAAGCGCTGAATAAATTTTAGTTTTCCTGTGAAGCAAGGGAGGTCCCTCTCCCTCTCACTTTTTTCAGTGTGTCATTTTTTTAGGTTTCTAGTTTGAAAGCAGTCCAGTTCTAGATGTTTGGAGTCAAAATTCTGTGACAAGTAGCCTCGCTCAGATGCAACTCAGAAGTCACCCGCTTTGGTCAAATGTCTGCCACTCACAGAATCTGCAGACAACTCTAACTGCTAATGCTCTGACCCACAGAATCTGCAGACAGCTCTAACTGCTAATGCTCTGACCGTTTTGCTCTTGCAGGTGTTCTGACCTCTGACTGCTGCCCTCCTGCCTGAGCGTAGTTCAAACTGTAAGTTCAACAAACCAAATAATTAAATATCGATAGTTTAAGAGATCTATACTGATTTTCCAGTCTGTCTACCTAAGATTCAGGAAGAGGGAAAGGGGGTGGAGACCATGGCTTGGGGGGGGGGGCGTGCAACACGGGGACATTTTTTATGACTTAGCCTTATGACTTTCTGTGACTGACTAGGCCCTCACAACCCTTAGCTGCCTGTCCTTTGTAAGACCCTCCCTTGCTACACTGTAAGACCCTCCCTTGCTACACTGTAAGACCCTCCCTTGCTACACTGTAAGACCCTCCCTTGCTACACTGTAAGACCCTCCCTTGCTACATTGTAAGACCCTCCCTTGCTACACTATAAGATGGTGTGAAGCTCTGGTCTCTGGGCAATGACGCCTTGATATTTCCCCAATGTCCTTTTCTTTCTGGATGGCCCTGTATGCTCTAATATCTTAGCTCGAGCAGATGGCTCCTTATATGTAGTTACCTCCAGACTCAGGAGCTGAATTCTTCTGGGTCAGATGAAATTCTGTAGTTAGCAACTTCACCCTCTACACTAACCAAAATGCCAGCTCCCAGCTGGTGAAGACTAGTCTTGGGGTGCTATACTAGTAGGCTATAAAATGCAATGTATTAAAGTACCCATAAAGAGGCTACATGGCGCAAGAGTTTACAGGTTTCCCCCTGGGCTGGATCTGCCTTCTCCACCTTATGGGTATCAGTGCATCCAAATGTGACTCTTTGAGCAATGGGGATCATCTGTGCTCTGAAGGGGTCGGTGCTAGGAGAGACACGCTCTCCCTTCTGCTTCACATGCCTTGACATGGAATTTAAGATATTTAAAAAAAATCTTAGCATTTAATGCACTCTGTCAGTGGATGGGCTCGGAAGAGCTGGTTTTTTTTTTTATTATAGAAAAGACATTTCTCTTATCTTCTCTCTTGTTTTTATGCCGTTCTGTGTCTGCCTCCTTGTCTAAAACACAAATTTCTGTTATCATTCAATTCACTTAATACCACTTCCATTTTTTGTATCTCTGCAGCTCATTGCTAGAACCGCTAATAGACTTTCAACACAAATAGTGTATTGATCACTGAAATCTCTTTCGAGCTTGACTGAATATACATAATGGGGTGTCAATCGGAGAAAAATCTCATAATAAATGGCAGGCGACTTATATTCATGAGAAAAATGTCTTGGGCAGCACACAAAATATCATGTCTACTGTAGCATGACAGCTATCCTCGCTGGTCCCGGCCGGTCTCTGCCGCATGCATGGTGGGTGTTTAATCGCAAAGGCAGGGTTAGAATGCCGAGCTCCTGAATCTTTCCTTTCTTTGTTTGTGTGAGAGGCATTTTGTACACTCCACAGAGTATAAACATCTTCCAGAAGCACCGCCAGCAAGAAAGATCTTTTATACCTGAAGGATTCATAAATTGCAAACAAATCTGTTTAAGTTGATGTATATTTAAAATCAGCTACTGATTTATGCAGTCCATATTTTTAAAATTTTTACCATGTGTGTACCAGGGCATACACACACTGTATGCAAATATTTCCAATGCATGTATGGGAACACATAGTGTATTTAGAGAGAAGCCTGTTTTACATAAATTATTTTTAAGAGCAACCAAACAGAGGAATAGCCATGCACTGGGAAAACCACATTTTAATCCCCAACCCAACCCCCTTTCAGCTTGCTGTTGGATGATAACGTGAAGGAATCTCATTTTTATAATTTTATACACAATCCTTTAAACTTACTTTTCCTGCCAGAAGTCTTGGATTATTTCTGCAAACCCAGTACCAGAGAGACTGAGGCAGGTGGCTAGCTATGAGTTCAAGGCCAGCCTGGGCTACAATGTGAGAACAGTGTCAAAACAGTTGAGTTACCAGGCTTGATGTCCCACACTGTTAGTCCAAGCACTTGGGAAGCAGAAGCAGGGGCTTCTTCCTGAGTTCTAGGACAGTCTAGTCTACATAATGAGACCATGTCTAAAAACAAAGTGGTCAGTCAATCAAACGGATGGAGATGGCTGGAAACCCAGGAGGCGGCGTAGTCTACCTGGCCAAGGAAAGACCCTGTGTCAAGAAACAAGGAAGATGGTGCCTGAGGACAACAGCTGGAGTTGTCCACCAGCCTCCACACTCACGTGCGCACACATGCATGTGTGTACCTGCACTTACAGTTACTACTTCTCCTACTGCGGATGATAGAGACCACTTTTCCCGATAGAGCAGCCACTGAGACATGCTGATGTTCCCAGTGAGAAGGGACCTTCAGGGTGTTGCCGCCCTGGGTAATCATAGACACTTCTGGCAGAGTCCAGTTTCTTTACGTACTGACTTGGCAGCTACTAGCCAGCATAGAATCATGCTCCTTGAGGGATCCTGGATGTCCATGGCATGAGGTGACACACTGCTTCTCCCCACGCAGTCTGAAATGTGCAGTCTTCCCCAGTCTGTTGGGCAAGTGCAGCCATTTAGGTTTGCCTCCTCTTCTCTAAGCAAATTAAACCAATGGCCTTTTGCTAATCAAATTTTGGGGTTTTTCGCCGGGCAGTGGTGGCACATGCCTTTAATACCAGCACTCTGGAGGCAGAGGCAGGTGGATTTCTGTGAGTTCAAGGTCAGCCTGGTCTATAGGAGCTAGTTCTACAGGTCAGCCTGGTCTACAGGTCCCAAAGCTACAGAGAAACCCTGTCTCGAAAAACCAAAAAAAAAAAAAAAAAATTGGGTTGAAAAAAATTACTTAGTGTGTGTGTTTACAGTTTTCTTGATGGAGCACATACCACCATGTGCTGTGGAGGTCAGATGACAACCTGTGGGAGTCGATTCTCTCCTTCTACTGTATGAGCTTCAGGGATCCAGGGATCCGCTCAGGTCATCAGACTCCAGCAATTTCTAATATACCGTGTGTGTGTGTGTGTGTGTGTGTGTGTGTGTGTGTGTGTGTGTAGAGAGAGGGGGGGAGGGGGAGGAGTCGGGGGCATACGAAAAGAAACTAGTGGTTGGAGACACGGCTCGGCAGGTAAGAGCACTTGCTGCATAGCCAGGCCCTGCGATCAGATGCCAGCACAAAAGCTAGATGTGGCCGTCTGGGCACCTGTAACTTCAGTGCTCTGTGGACAGACAGGAGGATGAGTGAGGCTTGCTGACTGTCAGCCCAGCTCAGGTTCAGTGAGAGCCTCTCAAGGGACTGGGACCATGACAGAGTAGAACACCAGATGTCCTCTGACCTCCTTGTATATATGTATATATGTATGCACACACACGTGCGCGCGCACACACACACACTGGCCTCCTTGTATATGTGTACACACACATGTGCACGCGCGCACACACACTGGCCTCCTTGTATATATGTACACATATGCTGGCCTTCTTGTATAAATGTATGCACACACATGCATGCATACACACTGGCCTCCTTGTATATATGTATGCATGTATGCATACACATGTGCACATACACACTGGCCTCCTTGTATATATGTATATAAGTACATATGCACACTGACCTCCTTGTATGTATATATATATGCATGTATGCACACACACACTGATCTCCTTGTATATAAGTACACACGCACACTGACCTCCTTGTAGATGTGTATACACACTTACACACACACTCTCACACACACATACACACACATACACTCTCTCTCACACACACACACTGGCCTCCTTGTGTATATGTATGCACATACACACACACCGGCCTCCTTGTATATAAGTACATACTCACACTGACCTTCTTGTATATGTGTATACACACTTACACACACACACATACACACACTCATTCGCTCTCTCTCACACACTATCTTACATCTCTGCAGCTTTGGAGTTTTCATGGTTCCCACCTCAGGTGACATTCGGACTGATCATTGTGTCCATCGGGACAAGTGAAACCACTGGGCATTGAGCTCCGACCTTCTCTTTCCACAGCAAGGACTTGCATCTTTTTTTCCCTGCTACTTTGATAAAATGTTTTTGACTCTTTTGTTTGTTTGGTTGGTTGGTCTTATGTTCTTGGCTAGCAAATGGGTTGGGCGCAAAGTTTGCTGAGAAAATGGATTACCGGAAAGCTGGTTTTTAGAGATCCAGGGACATGTATTATGGGAAAGCTGCCCTTACCAGCAAATGGTAACTATAAAATATGCCTGATGAATAATCTATATGTATTCTTTTGTATGTCAACAACTTGGTTCCAGTTCAAAACTGTAGGGCATGTGCGACTTTTCAGAGTCAGTCAGTTACATAGCTTATGCTTGGAGACTATCTGGTAAGGCTTTAATGGAAGGTAAGCTTAAACTCAGTTGTAAGAACCAGCCTCGTGAATTTTAGCCGGCAGAAAAGCGCATATTGCGAAGTTGGAAGAAAACTGGGGCTTCTTGGACGTCAGCAATGAAGGAGAAAATTAAATCCTTAGAGAAAAGAAAATTGGAAAGGAAAAGTATCCCTAAAGGATGTGGGTAGGAAACCTGCATTTGTAGATCCTGCTTGTCTTGAATGTTGGGTGGTTTACAGATACATCTCACTGGAGTGGGCGAGAAGAGAATTATACGATCTTGCCTTGGGCCTGTTAGTGCAGGCTCTACCACTGGACCCCACCTTTGCTCACACGACCCATTTTCTCATTGGAAGAACATTAAAGTAGCTCTTGGCTATAACTACCCAGTTTGGTGATATAAATATGTAGTCTGCTTAAATAGATTATGTTCTTGCCAGTTTTTAACGTACTCTTGGGCTGAGGCTACTCAAAGATAAACAGAACAAATCTGGTGGAGTTAAAAAAAAACCAGCTTCTACACTCTATCAAATTTTTAGTATAACTTTCACATCATTTAAAAATATATTCAAAGGCCAGGCAGACAGCTCAGTCAGTTGAGTAGTAATCTGAGTTAAATACCTAGAACCCATGTTAAAAAAAAGGGGCGGGGCAGGTGTGACGGTAGACAACACTTGTAATTCAGCATTAGGAATGCAGAGACAAGAG